CAAACCAGCGTGAAAGCTTACTGAAGTGCGACTTTTAATCGCTCGGACGCCGCTTTAATCGGCTTAATCTGCCGCTGTCCACTCTCATGTCCACTTCCAACCCATCAGCCTGTCTACGGCTTGTCAGCGGGAGCACGTGTCCTCTCGCTGTCAACGAGCAGCTTGGTCAATACAAGTGGTAATGGTGGCAGCATTCATTATCGCTCGGCGGCTGGGGTTAGTGAGGATGAGGTGGGGAAACCACACCTTTACTCGTGTGTGCCCGCGGCTTATAGAAGCGACTTACAGTTTATAAAGCTGAAACGGATCATGCATGTCGTAAAGAGCTACCTCCCGCGTATAGGTTCTGAGGCCCCATGAGGAGGGGGAGTGACCCACTGCCTCCCTAACAAAGCATCTCGTTACTGTCGACTAATCAGATGTTTCTTAAAAGTCCGAGTGAATCTGCCAGAGAGACAAGGAACCAGCTGTCTGCATACAAATAAGCCAGGTCTGTAAATTGGATGCGCACGCAAACCTCGAGGTTTCGAACAAGACTTAAGTCAAGAAGTGGATGAAGAGCCAGGACTTTTCGTCGGAGTTTCCAGCCTGTGACTGCAGAGAAGAAGACAAAGAAGAAGTCAAAAGCCATCATGGAGGATTAAAATTACTAGATTGTTGAGAAATAAAACGACCGTTTAGCAGTTTCCAAGGCTTATAGTAGAATCGACCATACGTGTCGTAAGAGGCGACTATGGGTAGGGATTAGGGTTGGCTGCAATAGATCTATAACACCCCTCTGTTTCTTGTCTAGATTTCAGACTCTCTCAGACTTCTGTTCGTCCATCTCCTGAAATCGGTCATGCATGTCGTAACAGGTGTATTCAGTAAAATCTTTATCATGGACAAAATCTGCAGTATGTTCAGTAGATTCGTTGAGTGTTGAGTGTCTATGTTTATGATCAGTTAGAATTGACACGTATATTCTTAGTCTCGGCAGTGTTTCTTTCACTCTATCTTCCTCTGTCGCACTGTAACTCTCTTTCTCACACACACTCTCTCTCTCTCTGTCGCTCTCCCTGTCTTTCTCTCTAAGTGTATGCTTATATTACCTATATATGTTCAAGCTATTGTGTAATCGAATGCTGTTTTTTTAACGTTTCACTAAAATGTGTTTCCACACACACACACACACACACGCACGCAAGAGCGCGCGCGCGCGCCAAATCACGAAATTATGCAGATCCATGTACACACATACACGTCCAGGCTCTTCACTACTTAACCAACCTGTTATAAACATTGCCCTGTGCAAAATAAAATGGCTAAAGATGATAGGATGGATCGATTTAGTCGCACTGGCTTTTATCACGCGTGTTTCTGCCTCTCTACGCAAAACGGATAGGCGCACAAGGAGAGCCTCGCTCAAAGCATCAACTGTTTAGCTCTAGCGACGATCTCTGATAACCTCTTCAGAATTACACATGTAATGGAGAGATGAGTTAATTCAAGAACCGACATCACAGCACTCGGGGCATTTCCATAAGCGCTCCGCCCTCACATTCAGCAGCCAACGCAGTTCCAATACCAGTGGTGCAAAAAGCATTCTGATTATACGTTCGACTTGCCTTTCCTCTGACCGTCGGCCACATACCCTTATCAATCTCCGCTGCGTCACTCCCACCAGACTGTGGTGATCCATTTGCTCCTTCGAACTGCACACGTTCTCACACATTTAATGAAGCAGCTGGTCAAAGGAACCTACGAGGGAGGAAGTTGGCAGTCAATATTTACGAATCACCGGTGTTGTCTGTTTTATTACACTAATGTGAGAGCTGGATTCTCACTGGAAAGGAAAAGAGAATTCAGGCTTTTGAATGTAAATGTAACAGACGCATTTTACTAATTAGTTATTTAGAACACAAAACTTAAATGAACATGTCAGAGACAAAATATACAAATTTGCGGGACATCAGGAGATTCTCTTGGCAGTGGTGAAACGTCGCAAGCTAGCTTGGTTTGGGCACCTGGTGAGACATGATTCGATTGCAAAGACTGCACTTCAAGGAACATTGGGGGGGGAGGGGGGGGGGGAGGTAGTCGAAGAAGAGAAGGGCAAAGAAAAACCTAGAATGACAACATCAAGAGATGGACAGAACTAAGTTATTATACATTTATTCATCAAGCAGAAGACAGAGAAAGGTGGCTGGTTTTATGTGCTAGTGCTTCTATCAAAACACCTCCACGACTCTAATGGGTCAAGAGTTATGTATGTTGTGTGTGTGTGTTATACTTAGCTTCTTCTCAACGGAGATTCTCATAGTATCTTTACATTATGATATTTAAAAAAAATGTTTCTTCCCCACCGTGAAAGTGATTACAATCTACATTTTTTTGTTACGGGGGTGGGGGGGGGGGGGGGGGGATTCATATCTTCCAAGTGGCAGCGGATTTATGTCACAGCGTGAGGGAGAAGTTAAGTCAACATGATGTGTATAAGGAGATAACTCCGTACGTCACTCGGGCGCCAGCCTTTACTATCCTGGTTGTACGGAACCTCACGCAAGACCCCTACAGCAACGTCCTCGTCGTGCGCACGGGATAATGTCTCAAATGAGCATTAACAGAGCTGTCAGGGGATTCTCGGAGTTTGCGCGGCCCCCAGAGAGTGATATGTCCTTGTGGCTCTCATCAGCCCGCCCCCAAAAACGCTGTGGGTGAAAAATGTTATCAAAAAACTCATTAGGAACATGAGTAGGTTTAGACAAAAGTACAGCTAAAATTACAACCCTTGGTTAAAAGACTGCGGGAGTAAAGAGAAACATTGCCCAATGCTCATCCTCGGTTAATTCTCAGTGTCGTTTCGTCGTCACCGCGCTGAGGTGCCACACACCAACAGCAACAATAAACGGGCTGGCCATCCTTGTGCATTCTCGGTTGGCCCTCAGTGTCGTCGTCACCGCGCTGAGGTGCACCACAACAACAACCATCCATAGGCTGGCCAGTCACGTACGTCCTAGGTTAACCCTCATTGTCGTCGTCACCGCGCTGAGGTACACCACAACAGCAACCATCCATCGGATGGCTAAACCCAAATGTCCGACAAAACTAGATCATACGGATCAAAATATGACCATCAAAATTTGCACTGAACTGAAAAAGGCCGAATGTCCACACCCAGAGACCCCACTCGCCCGAGTGTTGGGACAAAACTGATAACGATATGCCTGATTCAGGATGTGAAATTCTGTCGGGCTAATGTACCTATCTGTGTGGTCACAAAAGTCCAAAACCAACGGGCTGCTCCCCGCTGACTTCCAGAGGGCGCAGCCCCTGTCGAGCGGAAGGCCTGATACGGTTGTGAGGTTAAGCAGGCATGTGCAGGACGTGACGATTCCTTGGGTGAGCCCAGAACCAGAGCGCCATGTGCCGGCTCTGCATGCATGGAAGCCTCCTTGGATGGCGGGGAATGCCCTTGATCTGCCTCTGCCTTCCCTTGAGGGCCAACTGTTCCACAGGGGGCTGCCCCAAAGGGGTACTCTGGGGGGCAATACCTGCGGCGAAGGAGACAACGTGGACACCACACAAATCAGGCAAAGTCTCGACCCACACAAAACAATGGCCACAGTCACCCTAGAAATAGGCCTGACGTCTTCCTTCGAAGTCGGCGTACAGCTGCCCAAGAGGCAGGGAAATTAAAAACGGTTGTACACGCAAAAATCAGGTCCAGGTGAAAGCCAAAAGTCCAAGCGGACGATTAACCGGGACCTTCCACTGGAATTCACAGCCGGTGTTCGATGAAAAAAAAAAAAAATATATCTTCCATGGCGTGACTCTCGTACCACGCTCCGAAAAATACGAACACGAAAACAATATTTTTCTTCAAACCGTCCACAGCGGAAACGAACCCGAGTATTTCAGGATCAGGAAATTGTTAACCGCATTCCCTAGCCTCTAAACCACGGAGCCGCGCCATTTTGACATAAGAAGACGCAAATAGTAAAACCCGAATCTAGGAAGGTTTACAAATAAAACACACAACCTAATGATTATGGATTAAAGTTTAGCACATTTCCAAAGGTAGGTGGGTAGGTAGGTAGGTAGGTAGGTAGGTAGGTCAATTGTACCCCACCAGGACATCACACAAGCAATAAACACTGGTGACACAAAGTGCCACCTTGCGGATGAGGATCACCCGTGGAGAGGTCCCGGAAACCCCGTTCAGCCGTTAGGCCATATTCATAGACCGGCAGTATCCCACAAGGGGACGAATGTAAAACATTTAATACGAAATTTCTTTTCATGTATACAAAAACAACAAGTATCTACGGAAACCTTAAACATTTTCTGTAAAACAGCAATAAAATCCCACGCCACTCGTTCATAAACCATCGCTTTCTTTATGTTATTCTTTATGATCTCTTGCTATGTAAGAACGTCATCCAACTAGGGACCTACCGTGCTCTCTCTCTCTCTCTCTCTCTCTCTCTTTCTCTCTCTCTCTCTCACTCACTCTCTCTCTCTCTCTCTCTCTCTCTCTCTCTCTCTCTCTCTCTCTCCACACACACAGATACACACACCCGCGCGCGTACAAACGCAATCACCATCTCCCTGATACAGATCTCTCTACTTTGACGATACAATTCTCCCCCAAATAGACCGCGTTTTCCCGGTATCATGTTTGCATTTGTATTCGCCAAAACCATACATTTTAAAGCTTTTAAACGCCTTCGACAAACCATCCAATAAAACTTAGTTGGAAAACGATGCTTTAACGGCTTCTGTCTGTGCATAAAACACCCCACGGTCGGTCGTGTAGTCTTCCCACTATTCAGACCGGATGGGAATAACTCAGCGCTTCCAAGCTGTTAACGACATTTTCCGTATTATTGTGCGGTTGTTAGGCATGGGGTCGCTGGGGGAGGAAGGAATTGTGTCTGAGCGCTTTTGTTACATTTTCTTGAATAATGTTTGTTAAATTGTTAGTTGTTAGTCGAGTTTTTAGCATCACGGATTGCAAGAAAACTGCCACTGTGGTAGCCCACTGCAGACGCGAAAATGGACTTATCAAGTTCAGTGGACGACCACTAGACCAGATGGAGCCTAAAATGTTCCGTGTTAAGCTTCAAGAGCCAGTAATGTTACTGGGCAAAGAAAGATTTGATGGGGCTGCGTGGTCTCGTGTCCGCCTCGGGGGCTAGAGGTTCCGGGTTCAATCCCCGGTAAGGGTTGGTATTTTTTCATGTGTACTCGGACTTTTAGTAATTCTCCTGGTCTCTGGGTAGTGAGATCGGATGCCCGTGTGCACGTAAAAATTCCCCTGGCGGCTGGAAATCGAAAAGAGTAGCCTAACGGCGCTGCCCCGGCAAAAATTTGGAGTTAAAAATCTACCCAAAATATTTCAGGGTCCTCGCTTTTGCTACAGCGCATGTTCACTGTGCTGAGCTTCTTCGGACTCAGACTTGAGTTAGAAGAAAGAACGGAGCACTTATGGGTTACTACCCGTGTGCCATGATGTTGATCCGTTTTTAAACCCCAAACCAGAGAGATTTGCTGGAGTTGATATCAGTGTGCGTGTCAAAGGATGCAGTCACATACCACAGATCTATGCAATCAGACAAGCAATTTTTCCAGGCCATCGTGTCTTATCAAAAATATGTGGACGAAGCCTACAAGAAAGAGATCAGCGATGTCTTGATCCAATGTGACACATCTCTGCTGTTAGCAGATCCTCGTCGTTGCGAACACAATGGTGGTCCTGGAGCTCGTGCCAGATACCAGAAATCTGTCCGTTAA